GGAGTTAATGCACCGAGCCCCCTGCTAAAGGTTCCCTGGTGAATGTGTCTGGCCGATGACAGATTCGCACCTCAACCCCAGCACCATCACTCTACTGTACATCACGGCTGCCAGGACACACCAGGGAACACACACACACACACACACACACACACACACACACACACACACACACACACACACACACACACACACACACAGTCTTTCACATTGTGCAGGGAAAGGCCTGAGTCAGTAAGTAGCTGCTTTTAGTGCGCGCTAAAGCTCGATCGGGCCCTCTACGGGGCCGTTCCTTCCCCTCGCACACTTCCATCTGTGTGCAGCCTTGAAGTAGACAACCTCAGCTCACACTGTTTCCTTTTTTCTGTTATTTTAGAAGGCCGATAATTCCAAGTGACACGTTCTCCCTGTTGAGACTTGGCTAAAACGTTGCCTATAAAAGTCTTATTTGCTGCACACATCCACTGTGCTTCTTCATTTGTAAGTGAGAAAGGGGTCTGCATTATTGATAGTGTCATAAGTGACCACATTGCATTAAATATGGATCGCTCTCCTGAAATAAGTAAATTGTCTGTGAATAATTTAGGTGACTCACAGCTTGGGCCTGAGATGTTTATGCTAATGTTAACATTTCAAACATCTCCCAAGTTTTGTCTGGTGTCTTGTACTTGTGTCCCTGCAGAAATGTAACAACATTGACAGCTTTCTTTTTCTCTTCCCCCCCCACCCCCTTCTCCCCTCTCCTAAATGAGGTGGATCAGTCGGTGATATTCTGTTCTCGCAGCTTTCTTAGTCCCACTTAAGCTTCTTCGTTGTTTACCCTTCTAGCGCACCAAAGACTCGTGGGTCCCTCAAAGACTATTGTCGTTCTTTCATTTCAACTCCTCTCCCAACATCTCCGTTTTTTTTTACCAGCACAGAGCGTGGTATCTGAAGATGATGGGTGTGGGGATAAGTTGTTTATAGTTCCCTCAAATGGCTTCTACGCGCTTTTTAAAACACGCTACGGGATCCAAGCTCTGCTCCCCTCCTCTGCTTGAGATGAATTATATTTGTTCCAATTGAAAACTTTATTTCCCTCACCTCCCTTTTTCTTCTCCGAAGGACAAAGTCCCTCAGTGTCCTTGTGCCTTTCTCCTGGGTATTATTATTATTTCTCAACTCTACCCTCCTCCTTGTCATCTCATATTTCTCTGTTTGAATTCACAGGACCCTGCAGACAGTGGGGCCCTCTCACGCCCGCACCTACACCGTGGCTGTGTATTTCAAAGGGGAGCGAATCGGCTGTGGCAAAGGCCCAAGGTGAGTGAGACGGTACAATATGATCAGACAGGACAAGGAGCCGCACTTCTCAATGCACCGCTAATGGGCTCGAGAATAATGGCTGCGCTTTATTGATGGTGTTTATTATGGCAATTAAGCTCTTGTTGGCCTCTTCTATCGGGAGAGACATTATGCAGAATGAAAATGAATCGATTCATTATTGATTTGACGTAAATTGTGTTATGGAAATATCACTTTGTGCAGAACGAGAATCTGTCACCAGGCGACAGTGTATCTGGGGCTGCTTTCTGCTCTACCTGGGATGTTGTGTTCGCAGCGGGACATTTATGTGTTTTTGTGTCTGACTGCACACCTTTTGTGTGCGCTCACACATTCCCGCTTTTGTAAAGTAAAGAAAGTGAATCTCTGTGCAAATGCCTTTTTCAGGGTTAAAGGGTTGGCAATAAAGCTGCAGCTGAGCCTGCGAGAAATGAAACGTAAATCCATCAAACATCTTTCACCCACACTCACATACCCCCTCCACAGCCCCCCTACTTGAAAGCGCTCCATCTTGCTCTAAGCTGGCGATAACTTTGTCCCTTCCATAGGATCTCTGACAGCTTACTGTTTTTGTATTTACATGAGGTAAGCTCGCAGCCACCTCCGCTGCCGGGCTATGATCAGGCACACATGAAATATACCAGGGACGTAAACAGTGCCCAGCGCCAATAGGCTTACCTTTCTCAAATGTGTGCACTGTTACCTGCAATTGTTAGTCTGAAGGGCTCTTTCAACACGACCAGAAAGCACTTCTGATAATCCTCTCAATATTGGGCCTGTTTTTTTGACTGAATTTTTTTTTTTTTAAGTGACATTTTGATTATGCTAAAGACCTTTTCTCTTTCTCCCTCTCTCTCCTTTTTAAAAATATTTCGAATCTAGCATCCAACAGGCGGAAATGGGAGCTGCAATGGATGCGCTCGAAAAATGTGAGTTGTTTGGCAACATGAAGCCCTCCACTCCACACACACACACACACACACACACACACACACACACACACACACACACACACACACTCACACTCACACTCACACTCACACACTCACACTCACACTCACACTTTAAGCCTTTCACATGCGTTGCCACAGTGTTGTATATTAGCATTGGCCGTAGAGTATGCAAGATGGCTGGCAGAGCGCTGTGGTCTGACCAGCCGGTTGGCGGCGACATATAGGACATTAGGCGGTTTGAAGTGCTAGCCCAGAGCACAGCCATGGGGCCCAGCCAGAGACAGAGAACCAATAAAACAAGGCCGGGGGAGGCTAAGCGTCCTCAACCATGTCCATCATCCCAAGAGACGGCAGGAAGTTACTGTCGAGGGCCGCGCAGAGTTCCTGTTTTTTGGTTGTGTGTTTGAGTCCTTTAAAGTCCATGAGAGCAGAGCATTATACTCTAAGCGACTCTATTGTGCTCAGCGCCTCTTCACATTTGAAGGAGTGCGGCTCATGCGTCCCTACGTGCTGCTTCACTCCTTGGCTGTTTTTCATCTTGTCATCAGTCGCCACTTAAGGAAAATAGTGTGTGTTTTTTTTTTTAGGCATTTACAATGTCTCGTTCTTTGCCAAGGAAAAAAATACAATTACAGCGCTCTCAGACACTCATCCACGAGCCGGTCCTATCATCTCCCATTCCGCTTATTCTCTATGCATATGGATGTGAATGCAAAACATCAGACAATACATTAGTGGGTAAAGAGTCGGGATGTGTTTGAGTGCAGTTTTTGGCCTGGTCTTGCCTGCTATCGCTGTGACCCGCACATTAATCAAATGTACAATTTGTTCTTTACTCAACTAATTAGATAGAGTTGAGCACAAATGGCTTTGTTGGAACAGGCCTGCACAACTCGCAAAGGGCAGGGGGGTGAAACTGTGATTTCATTTGGCTCCCAAATGAGTCCTCCAGCCATTTGTGATTGATACTGTTTGTGCGCCCAAGCTTTAGCTTTTTATGAAACATTAACGTTATGCTGGTATTATTTAAAGCCGTTCCCTCAGCCTCCCTCTGCATTCGGCTCTCCCTCCCTCCTTATCAGGGGGCGTAGTTCAGTGCACACACTCTCTCTCCTGTGTCTTCCTCCCTTCCCTTAATTCGTCCCATTTCCTCTCCCCAGTGTACACCTCTGTCACCATGATTGATAGATGCTCATTGCTAGTAAATGAACATTTCCCCCCTCATAAATTGCTGTTTCATGTGAATAGATTAGCAATGCCTTGTAAAAGGTCAGTTCATTTAAAATCATCTCTTCATGTCTTCTTTCCTTCAGGCGCAATATAGTTTTAGGGCTTTGTTTGACTTTGTATTGTTGCTTAATTTAAAGCTGCCAATTTTTAAGTCACCCCTCAGCTAAAAGTACTCTCACTAAGTTCCTGAGGTGAGTCTGGAAATGATTTGGTATTTTTAATTAATTACCAAGTAAAAAATGCAGATAGGCTCCTTTCTAAATATAAACACGTTTTTGATACTATCAAAATTAAAGCTCAAATTAAAAAGTAGGATATTATTTACATTAAGGGTGCAAGAAATAGAATATAATGTGAAATGCACAATATGAAGACACTATAAACAGATGGATGAAGTTTGGTTTTGCTAAACACATTTCTATAGAGATAGACGGCGTCCCCTCCTTGTCTCTCATGTGATCGTCAAGGGCCTCGCTTCATTTGTTCCCATAGCAAGACTAATCAAGGACATTAGCCCTGGTGTCATGTAATTCGTCATTGATTGTCTTGTTGGCCCTCGCTGCAGCATCCGCTGAACCATTACTCCTCGTGTACAACAGCCCTACCTTGTGTTACACTCGGATCGAACTCACCTCCCCGCAACACGTCAGGATTCATTTCCATGTTTTATTTAAAACATACTCCTCGAGTATCAGGAGCGCTTTGAGTTGGATTTTTTGTTTGGTTTCTGCTGCAGAGCTTTCCCTGGCAGACAGAAACCCGGCGGTGAAAGACATGGCCGTGTTCAGTCAGACAGCTCAGAGCTCATTACAGAGAGCCGGGGCCCAATATTTGGTGTGTGTGCCGTCTGTATCCGAACCGCTGGTTGCTCGGCTGATCCACATGACACTGTATGATGGCCCACGTTTCTGACAGTCTCCTGCCTGTATCCGTCAAGGCAGAATGAAATGTTAACCAACTCCTGGACTGGGAGGAAGATGAGTGGAAACAAATTGAGCTGAGAGCAGCCGGGGTTCTGAGCGAGAGGAAGGCTGTGCAGAGCTCTCAAACCCTGAGGCTCCACGCACCTTTAGGTCTAAGGCTGCATCAAATATACATGGAGAGGGCTTAACCATTTATCATGCATCCTTACAGATAGCACTGTGTCTGTTTTGAAAGTCTCTCTCCAAGACACAGCCCCCTCCCCTTCCTAGTTCTCTTAGCTTCCTCGCAGCTGCTTGTTTCGCAAACAATGCAATATCTGTTGAATAAGAGAAGGAGCCTCGATGTGGCTCATAGCTGGAAGGGGACTACTTTTTTCCTCCTCAGCTTTCTCTAAACCCCTTAATCTCCAGATGAAAAGCATTGGATGGATAGAGGCAAAGTAGCGTACAGTATGCAGGATCTATTTTCAATGGCTTGGGGCCTTTATTTGGCCTTTGGCATGGCGGGGAAAATCCCTTCATCAACGCCGCCATACAGGTGCTCTATGGGCTCGCTTTAGGTGGACTCGTCTCACAGCCCGAGCGAGGCTGAATAGTGAATGCCCGAGTGAAAGGACACCGTATGTTCTTGTGGGGAGCTGATTCCTCCTCATCCAGCTGCCGTGTGAGCGCTGTCGGCTGGCACAACAGGCCGCGTTGTTGCCGAGGCTAACAGCAACTACACCCTGAATCTCAACCTCCGTCCTTGAGAGGAATTACCGCATTGTCCATAAACAAAAGACCTGAGCCCGGTTAAGTGCGCGAACGCCTCAACCAAAGATCGGTATGCAGAGTGTTCCTCAAAGGGTCTCCAGAAGAATCCTCAGTAGCCCAACGCAGACTGAAACTGAAAAGCCTTGTGTATTCTCCAACAACATTTATTCTTCGACGCCTGCTCTTGTGCCGCATGTAATGTAAATGGCCAGAGCCTCTCGAATGGGTTATTCTAAAGTCATCTCCTACTGTATGGAAAAACGCTGGTGATTTCCATATTTTAACTGCAATATGTAGTTTTCTCTCCAAGGCTTACCAAGTGTTCTTACCCGCCAAAAGCATATTGAAATGGTGTGTCTGTGTGTATCCAGCCATGTGTGTGAGACGCATTTCCCTTGGAATATTTTTTTAGATTCTCGCGCATTCTTTCTTGAGGATTCTTCTTTTTCTTTTTTTTATTCGACCTGTCTTTTTTTTAATAGGATCTGCCGTTATCTTGCATTATTCCTTTTAGTCGCCATAATGAGAAGTTAGAGTAGCAGGAGGAAAAATACATCTTCCTCTTCTTTTCACAAGTCAAACATTATGTGAATTCCAGCATTTCATTTTCTATCAAATGTTTGGATTCTGATTAAAGGAACGTCAAACAACTCAAATACTACACGGCCTTTAGTCTACAGCCAATTCTTCTACCAACCAGCGGAAGAATGTGTTGCTCTGAGGCCAAATTCATTCATTCCAAGAAGTGAATGAAAGTGTGAAAAATACAGAGCTTTTTAGTTACTACTCAAGGTGACTTCTTCAAATTGTGTGTTGTGTCCAAACAACAAAGGGAATACAATAATAATAATAAATGGGATTTATATAGCGCTTTTCTAGACCCAAAGAAGCTTTACATTACGAGTAAGGTCGACAAACAAAACAAGAACAAAAACACAAACAAAAACAGAAAAGCAGTCAGGAGGATGTTGGTTCAGAGGGGGGAGGGGCGGGTTTAAGGATAAGCAGAGTTGAAGAGGTGGGTTTTGAGACGGGACTGGAACAAGGTGAGGGAATCAGACTCACGGAGGTCTTGGGGGAGGGATGTATGTATACACAATGTATTGTGTATATTTTTGTGAGTTACAAGTCTGTTATATTTGTACTTATTGTTATTTTAAATTGTTATATAATTGTTTTCCCCAAAACAACTTGTTCACATCGAATATTCGGTGCATCCCTAGTTACAATGTAAACTGTTATGTTAATGTAAGCAGCAGATAAAGTATATATTAGTTCACATTTTTTGAAACGGCATTGTTAACAACAGCTATTTCCAGACATTATGAGTTTATAATAAAAGCCCTCCACATGAATCCCATTTCAAAGGTCCTTTGAAATGTGAGGCTTTACTCATATGTCCATTGTTTTGAAATGACGCTAGCAAAGTGCATTTCTAACTTGATTAATGACTTGAGTGATTAATGAATTCTCACATCTCTGTCATTTAACCCCCGGAAACACCCAGAAAGAAGTTCTAAATGTGCTCTTAATTGGACATTAGATGAGGCAGTTTATAAATAACCCATTGGAGTGGTACACCAACTCATCAGAATCCAGATGGATAATGTGTCGCTCCAACGTGGGGGAAGCGCTGTTACTTCTGTGGTGTGCTCCTCCGACCGTGGTTATGGGGCTTCAGCAGCCGTTTCCGGGAAAACAATATCCACACCAGATCGTATAATAGTCGGCTCAAACCCTAAGGCGCCATATTATCAGCCGTGAGTCCACTGTCTGGACAATAGTCCTAATTAAATTTGCCCATTTATCGGAGGGTAATATACACTATCTACAGTATTTAGACTGCGACACGTTTTCTGTTGTTCTGGCTCTGTACTGCAGGACCTTGGATGACTCAGTGCTGACTCAGCTTTAAGGATGTTTACATTTATAAGAGGGAACGTTTTTTATAAAAAGGGATAGGCATTTGTCAGAATTTGCATCAAATAATGATCAGTTACTAATGTTTTTTTCTAATCTGGTGTATAAAAAGAGCTCCATTTGTTGTGTCTAACTACTCTCATTACCTCCCGTCTTACTTCAAACTAAACGTAGCAAGCTGCAGCTGTTGAAACCCTTCCGAAGTACACAGTATGTTATAAAGCCGTCACAGAAAGGCCAGAATGAGAATCCTTGTGGGTCCTCTCCATTTTCCATCACAGATCGACTTTAAAACTTCTGTGGGAGGCAAAAGTATTGAAAGACGGATTTTAATTTGTTTAGGTCTGCACGGTCATGGTCAGTGACCGGAAAAAGTGCATAGTCAAATTTGTGACTCAGCGAGTTGACACAAACCACCGGGTCTCTGTCAGGCGTGCTGTTTTAAATTGAAGTGTGCGCTGGAGAGACACGGTAATAAACACTAAACGGAAAATTACCTCGGCTCTGAATAACAGAATCCCAAACAGGTCAGTGGGGTGAACTCTGTCAGAGCTGGGGAAATAAAGCTTTTCCGTTAAACCCAGGTACCTCCAAAGGGTTATATGTTATATGTTCCTCCAGGGGAAGTGAGATTCTCCTAAATAACTGCTCTTCTCCATTTTAACATTGTAATGTATTGGGGATTAGATGTTTAAAGATGTTCTCTTGGACCCTCAGAACTTGTGATGTTTCACTATTTTATATATTACACAGAGTCGATTGAAGAAAGTCAGATTGGATTTTTGAATTCTTAATTTTCACTATTTCCTAAAATGTTTACACCAAACGATCACTTTTTCTTGAAAGCTATCTTTTGGCAAACATGTGATTAATATCTCAAGTATGTCTGGATTGAGAGTTGAGGTAGTGAAACTGCATCTTTGACTCAGTTTCCTTTACCGACAGTAGTCCTATCCTGTCTCATTCCCCCCCTCAACACCGACCCCCCCCCCCGTATTGGCCCAGATTGGGATAGTTGTACTTCAGCCATATTGGCGTTAGGCAGAAAACCCTAAAGGAAACTTCTCTTTAGAAACGATTTGCCACATTACGTTTTTTTTATTAATAGAATTCTGGCATTCAGGAGTTTTATATTAGTTTTCAAGTCATGAAACCATTCAAACATTTATAAACAATCTGTGATCTAACTGCAGGAATAAGTTATTAGTGTCTGCCTATAGGTTCACACCCCATCAGCGTGTGTGTATTATTTGCTCTGCTGCCACCCTACACCATCTTATTACAGATCTCATTTAGAAATGTTCACTTGTAATTATGTTATCAGATCTCCCAGTCATTGTGCTGAAACCAAACAAGGCTTGTCTAATTTCTTGTTACATTATCATTATTAATGAAATCACAACATGAGGGCAATTTAACCGCAATACTGCCGGCAACATTTTGGCTCATTTGGCCACAGTGACAACATGACACTCGCTTATGAAAACTATTGTGTGTGCAATCTGAGCCTAAACTGTCGGACTGACCTTGTCTCTTCTCACCCCTCTCTCTCCCCCTCTCTATCTGTTCTCCTTGGACGACTCCTCTCTGTTTCCCGCTCTGCCTCTCCTGCTCCAGATAACTTCCCACAGATGGCTCATCAGAAGCGCTTCATCGAGCGGAAATATAGACAGGAGCTGAAAGAGATGAGACGAGAGCGGGATCGGCAGGAGAAGGAGAAGGAGAAGGAGAAGGAGAGCGACGAGCCGGAGGAGAGCAGGAAGTGACAGCATCTTGTTCTGAGAGCCAATCAGGAGCGGCGTCCACATTAAGGAGCTCTGATTGCAGATGTGGCTGCCGTCCAGGCAAGAGCTGGCAAAAGGCAGCCTTGATAGTTTGGTAATGATGATGGACTGTTTCCTAAGTTCTCCACCAACACCGATGGGACTCAGGTGAGGAGTACCTTCGACTCTTAACCTGGAGATTTAGGGGGAACTCGTCCAGGATTCTCTTAAAGTGGAACAGAAGGCAAACGGCATTAGAAATGAAGCAAGACCCTTTCCTGTTGTATGCCGTTTAGTACTGTAGCACTGTGAAAGGTGGCCTTATGTTGTCTTATTTTCATGTGTGTCACCTTTAAATATTGAGATTACTTTGTTGAGAGGCTCACAATGTTACTAACAAATGGAGAAAAAAAGCTAACAGGTTTTTAAATAAAGTATGTAATGCTAAATAAACCATGAAATATTGTAAATAAAGTTTCAGATAGTCTGTTTGCTTCTTTTTTTTTAACCGCTTGCTTAGAGGCCCAACAGAAAAAGGGTTCAGTCTATGTGTGTTTCTCAATGTCAAGGACGCTTCCTTGGTAGGACTTGGTCCCTCCGAGTCAGGTCCTTCAGAAGCGAGGCAAGAATCCTTCCTACCCTCGGAAAACGAAGAATGGTGGAACAGGCTAACAGGTGTGCGTCATATGCGAGGCCCCGCCTTAAATGGAGCGCGATTTCCGCCAAAGATTTGGAAAATTGGTCCGTGCGCAAAGCATTGTAGGGATTTTAAGACCGCGGACGATACACATGTGCAGCCTCGAAATGTCCCGCAACGAAGGACGCCGGCCTCGGTAGAATTCCAAGCTTCCTGGACATTGTAACAGTCCTTCGGCGGGACTCGATGACGTAGCATCCTTGAATTAGTGGCTCTGGAGCAGCTTTCCTCGACATTGAGAAACACCCTATGTGTTCAATCAGTACATTGACCCCATTTTTAAGGAAGCTTCTGGAGCACGGAGTCGAACACAATGAAACACGGAAGAGCTGGAACTTGATGGCAAACTGAAGATCTCTCCCCCCAGTCCCATGTATTTAGAGCTCTGAAGAGAATAATCAACATTCTGCATGACGACTGTAACTGTAATTCCTCCATCAGCTGACGCCAACAGGCAGGAAGAGTAATGGCGGATGAGCTGGGGCTAGTACCTAAGCAACATGTTTCCTCGACAACCATCTGTCCTGCATCTGTCACTCATCCACTAATAATCAAAATCTGATTTTTTTTCTCCCCCCTTTCTTTTTAAACCTCTTTCCAAATCCGATTGGTTGTCTGACAGATCTTAATTAAGATTGTCTAATTAACAATTTCCTCAGCTCAGTAGCCTCTGGATCCAGCTCTTTAACAGGCCTTCATAAGAATTAGCATCTGACGTGTCAGTCTCTAAAGGCGCATTTCCACTGCAGGGCCTCGCACGGCTTAGTACGGCCTTGGTAGGCCAGGCTCACTTTATGCTGCGTTTCAATTACAGTTTAGTAGCTGGGGCAGTAACTATATTAACGCAGTGAAGGCGGAGCCGTGACGTCATCTTCAATGCGAAACACAAAACCAACATCAGCCGTTAGCTGTTAGCACTCAGAGCTCCTCATATCTGTTCAGAAACTAGACAAAAGTTGGACAAGTACAAACTACAGACTGTCTGTCATGGCGAATACAGTCTGTGTCATGGCGAATAGTCGCTGGTTTATTTATGTTTGTGGATGGTCGGCGCATATACAACGTTAGCTTAGCCGATCTCCATTCAGAAAACACACATTTTAAAAGGTGTTTCGCCTGCCGTCTGTCTGCAGACTTGTCAAAGCATTAATTCATGGTTTTTACTATCCGCTGCAGTGGAAATGCGCCATTATTATACTCAGATTTATTGTAGGTAATATATACGAACCTGTGAGGACGGTAAATATATTGCTTGCTTGCCTGTGGCCGCTAACATCATTCAGATAAAAGTGAAACTATCCTTCATAACCAGAAGAAAAACAAGGAGAGTTATTCCACCATAAGAACATAAACCTTTCAAAGTGTCCATTTCATGTATGTTTTTTCAGAAGAATACCTCACAAAGACAACAGAGAAGCTGATTTTAAAGATATTTAATCGTGTCATATAAATATTCAGTACAAAATATCACGTTTTACAAAGCAGATTGATGAATGGCCAATGATGAAGGGCCCTTACACTACCACGACCTCTCAAACTGTTTCTACATCGACAAAACTCCACTGCTCAATCACATTTTCACCAACACAGTATACCGTTGTAGAGGTGAGCCCGGGTCTACACATCAACAACCACAGATCTACCGCATCTGGAGAAAGAGGACATCACCATCGCAACTTTGAAGAAAGAACATAAATGGCGGTACGTTCAAATGTGCAACACTTTCCGTTATCTTAGCTGAGCATGGCGCCAATGCTTGGAGGCAATTATACTCTCCATAGGAAAACACAAGCACGTCTTTGTAATGGCGATATGCTGACACCCTGTATGGAGACAGAAAATAGCGAAGGGAAAAAAATGCTTTTGTGAAGTGCTGCTGTCACGTTGATTTCCATTTGAGACCTCGCATTGTACCTCGAGGCAGAGAAGCAGATTCCTTAGAGTGAAGGGTTTCTAACCCCATTAAATGCTTATCACAGCAACACTGCCACAGTCTGAAATGGCCACTTATAATGGGAACCACAGCAACAAGCTAATAAACAAAAACAAGGGGGCGAAAAAATGAGTGCATGTATACAATAGCAGAGCGTAAAGAATTTTCCAACCACTGTCAATTAGATTGTTAAATGTGCCGCTCTGGAAAGCCTCTTTTGGAGTACAGACTGTGAAAAATTACACCATTATGTTTTGTTATTACAATGTGTGATAAATGTCAGCCTCCTCCCATGTAGGCCTTTTGCTAAAGTGAGGGCAGAGCTTGTTATAGCTTTTATTATTTTACCCTCCAAGTCTCCAGTAATGAAATACATTTAATTACTGTTTAATTCTTGAAGTAATAGTGATTAAAAAATGGTTCTGTTTTGACATTAAATGCTAAACTGTTTTGTGTTCTCGCTGCAGGACAACGGTTTGACCTTCTCCAGAGGACACCGCTCTGGGTTTGAGAGCCGCCCAGCTCAAAGGTCAGGGGCCCCTCGTAAGGGCCCGACAGGAGAGGCTGTCCGTCCCTCAGGAAATCATCTGGGTGAGCTCCATGTTCAACACTACACACAGTACATGTAATGAAGGGTGGTGAACATGATCATTTTAAAAGGAAAATACTGGTGCTTTTTGGCACATCTCCAAAAACTGCTATGTTACATTTGTATACATTCGACTGTGGGCGGAGCCTCCTCTACACACAACACCTTTATCAGAAAAACCCTTGCTTTATGCTGTAGGTTTGTTTTTTAGACTTATTAGAATCCGACCACCCACAAAAAGGTAATCAACATTTTAGGCCACTTCTCATTGCGTAGTTTTACTTTTATAATTTAAGGCATTTCTTTTGATCAATTTCATCCGTTTATACTTTCTCAAAGGAAGTATAAAAGCTTTACATATGGACAGAGTTTACATTTAAACACATGATTTATTTTTTTGTATGAATTTCTAATTGAAATATCATTCTTCCAGCTTGGTACATGAAGTCAAATCTCGCTGTGTTTCTTCATCGTACGCACAGATACGAAAATAATATTGAGTGAATTGTTTTAATGGTCACAGGATGTTGCAGTCTGCGCATGTGACTTTTACACCATGCTGTACAGAGTGAATCAGACCAGCATTTCCCTCGAACTGGTGTTTCTTGATTATCAGTTTATCTCAGAATTTAACACTGTTTTTTATTTATTTTTCAGCCTATTGGGTGAACTGGAAAAATCAGGACATTCAGCTCAAGTTACTATTTGGTATTTGGCTCACCTTACAGCATATTGTTTACAGCTGTGTGGAGATGATAGTCAGAAATGATGGTTTTTGTATGTTGTTGCCATAAATTCCACATTTGCCACAGCTTCAGGTATGCTTTATTAGCCACTTGTCAACAGCAATGTTCCACAACACTATTTGAAAATTCATCCCTCCAATCTGTATCTAGATTCTCAGAGAGGACGATTGTGTGACACTTCCTGCTCAAGCCGAGCTGTGGATGCCATCGCTTAAAGAAGGGATCTTTTGGACAATAGAAATCCCTTTTTAAAAACAACTTTACAGCGTATCGTATCATATTACCGTACATACACAAGCTAAGATAGAACTCACAATATGCAGCATGTTTTTGTCCCAGAAACACTGAAAAATACATAGGCATATTTGTAGGGTTTACAAAACTGCTTGTTGAAAGTGTCCATCACACGCAGCTTTGAAAAACAAACGAAAAAGAAAATATTGGTATAGATATATTTGGGCGTCATGTACACCCAATTACACACAGAAAATGTCTTGACACAAAGTCTCTTTTCACTTCACCCAGGCAAAACGCAACTAACACTGACTGGACACACAAAGCCTACGTCTGGTCACCGGGGACAACTGAAAGGTGAGCGGTGGCGTTGAGACGGCACGTGGACAAACGGTGCTCGTTCCATGGTCCTTTTCCGCCATTTTTATCGCCACACATGCACCAGAACTGCCCGAAAGTTTAAAATGTGTTTCATTGACATTTTTCTCTCCTTGTCTTTGTGCCAGGCGCTCGTTAGGAATCCCTGTCGCTGTCGTCGCCCCCGTACATGTCTGCCAGTTTCTTAAAGCGGGGGCCCCACTCGCTCAGGTAGTTGTAGTCCTGGTCTCCCTCGGTGGTCACTGACTCCAGGGAGCTGAGGGACTCGGCCACGGAGCCGGTCCCCTCGTAGGCGTAGGTGGCCAAGGAGTCGTAGGGCGGCGCCGTGGGGTCGCTGTCGTTGTCCTGCAGCCTCTGGTTGATGAAGTCTCTCACGTCCCCGTTGTGGTCCCGGATCGGGGGCAGCACGGGCCGTCGGACCGGGGGGAAGAAGGTCTCGGGGACAATGTCCCTCCGCTGCTTGCTCTCTTCGATGGCCTCTGGGTTGCGCAGTGTGCCGATATCAAAGGCCTGAGTGTCCTCCTCTCCGCCCCCTTCATCGTTGTAGCTGACAACGTTGTCTCTGACATCCTCTTTGGAGATGATCAGAGGCTCCTTCTTCCTCTGTCTCCTCAGGGCAGCAAACAGCACCACGATCACTACAGGGACAACAAACAAAGAGAGAACAAGCCTCAGACTTTGGTGACTTTTGCTGTTGTTGCTTTGCTCCCCCCTCCTTGTTCTGAAGGCCAGTGACTGTCCAGGGGGAATTGTTGATGTTGCATGAGTGTTCACTGATGTTCAGGGACTTTGTCTGACTTTGTAAAAACAGGCTCGGCTACCACAAGGATACATTATGTATGTTGCCTCCTCAGGGCCAAAGCTGCATACTTTCAAAAATAAGGCAGTTTAAGCAAACACAATAAATTGTGTGCTAGAAAACATCTCTGTGTATGTGTTTTAAATGTCAGAAAATGATAGTGCAGTTTGTTATTAAACATTTTATGAAAGGACATAGTTTGCCAAACAATTCATGTTAAAAAATATGCAGAATGTTTTTTTAAGCCAAAGAATAGTATGTCAAAATCAGAGCCGTATAAAGAGAGAGTTGTGTTCACTCAGCCTGCCAAAACCATCTGAGTCTCCGTTGATGCAACTCTCTCTTTATAGGGCTCTGGTCGAAAAGAAGCCATATTTCAACATGTATTTTCTTTCATTTTTGTCGATTTTTAACGTACCACGCCTGGGTTTGACACACTATAACGTGCCTTATTCCCACATAAAATACATGTCTTTTTTTGCATAAGTATGTCGAAAAAATTCTAAATAAAAACATGGTATGTGGGAATAAGGCACGTTATAGTGCGTCGAAGCCAGGTACAGTATCATCACCAGTAAATGACAAAATGTCGAAATAGTTTTACGTAAATATTTCAACTAAAAGAGTAGAAACATGTTTAAAAGAAACTCTCAAATCTTATTTTCAGTGAAGCCACCAAGGGTACATTTAAGCTCAAATGTTTGCAAGCGTGTGTACTCACTGAGCAGAATGATGACGCAGAGCAAGATGGCCACCAGGGCTCCCGTGCTGAGGCCCGCCCTGGCTGTGAGCGCCTCTGCGTTGCACAGCTTCATGTTGCCCTCGCGGTCGCAGGAGCACACTCTGACGGTCAGCGTGTTGGTGCTGCTCTGCATGGGGAACACCCCGTCGGAAATGACCACAGGCACGTGGTAGATGCTCATCTGAAGACTGTTGTAGCTGTTCCTTCGCGTTAGGATCCAGGCCGTGTTGTCTGAAAACAGCAGGATGTCCGGTTACTATGCAGACATCAATAACCTAAATGAATACTTCAATAAACTCTACTCAAAATTGAATTTGGTCTGTGAATGTGCTTGAAAGAAAAACTATAAATCACATCATGTGCAGTACGGCACTCCATGTGGTTAGGTATGAGTGCCTTATGGAAGCATTATGCAGAGGAGTGAAGCATCAGCTGAGAGTGAGTTACCTTTGTTATCACGGACAGAGAAGTTGGCCTTCCCAGCAGCCTCCTGGGCGAGACTGAAGAAGAACCGGTGTCCTCCGAGTGGATCGTCAGGATCTGTGGCGCTCACGGTTTGTATCCTCTGAAATAAGAAACAGGGGATTCGTACGTTAAAGGTGGGGTGGGTCATTTTGGAGAAACCAGCTCCAGTGCGCTAGAATTTGAAAATACACAACCGGAACAAATCTGCCACTTCCTTACAGAGCCCCTCCTCCAACACACACGAACGCGCACATGACCAATGAGGGCAAGAGATAAGTTTGTGCACAGATGGAAGGCTGACAGGCAGGTAGGCCATCCAGTTATTTTAGCCGTTCCGGCTCAGATGATTGGTCGTGCTTTTTACAGTGCTATGGATTCTTTGTCAAAGCACTTCAGATATTCATTGCCATCGGGATGTTAAGAGCATTCCATGGAATATAACAAAAAAGTGTATCTCGAGCCGGTTTCTCAAACTTACCTACCCCGCCTTTAAATGTCAGGTATGGGAGCAGAATAAACCCTTTCAAAGTATTAAATTGCTCAATTATCAGTGAAAGGAACACAGCTGGTAACAGTGACGTATCAACGTTTATATGGATTTTGTCGCTGCATGTTGAATACCCAACAAAAGTGGGTGATAAGAATGTGAGTATTATATTTAACATGAAAATAGCTTATCATGCAGCCGTATCCTTTTGAACTTATTTTCACCACTTGCAGATGGGACTATTTAATCCTTCTTTGGAAAAGTGCATTCATCAACGTGAGATGTGAGCTTAATGCAAAAAAAAAAAGGCTCCTCGTGTATCAGATATCCCACCCATCTTCGTCTAGCTTAAATCACACGTGACAGTTTTTACAGATACTCTCTGAGATGCGCTAATTACACGGTGAACTGGAAGAGGACTCATAAGCCTTGAGGGGAAGTCATAATGAAACTATGACGACTGCTTTGTACCTGATTAGCCTTAGCGTTCTCACACACAAACGTCTCGTAGTTGGTGGCGAATGTTGGAGCGTTGTCGTTGACGTCCAGCACTCGGATGTAAACGGGCACACGGCTGACCTGGCGAGGGTTGTCTAGGGAACACACAGGTGGGAATTCTTAATGTACACAAATCATTATTTCTTTACCTTTATAGTAGATGTGTAAGTGTAGATGTTTTCCCGTTTGCATGCGCACAGTAATACAGAATGTAATTGTGATATTTTACAAGTAATGTTTGACATGCCATTGACTTTATATTATGAGGAAATAAAGGTGTATATATCTCTTGATTCTTTTCTACAGGTACTACCCATTCTTCTAATTTAGTGTTGAGCCGAACCGGGACAACTGTAAATGCTCAGAGGAAGCCAGTTTTAAAATTCTGAATGGCCAGTCAATATAAAAGTGAGTATGTAAAAAGCCTTGAGGAAGTTGTATAACACATACTATAATAGCTTACATAAAACATTCAGCACATAGTGTGTCCACATCACTTATCATTCTGCTGAAAAAGAACATCTCGTACCCAGCAAACTTCTGCCTTGAGTTTATGTGCCTTTTTCGTTTGCATAGTTACACCCGAGTGGCGAGGAAATTATTCAAATAAAAATGTCCTTACCAATGTGACATGCAGGGTGTAGTTCTCATATCAATCTTTTTACGAATAAAAACACTCAGCGGAACTCATTAGAAGTCCTCCCACAGTTCAAGGGCATTATCAAGTCACTTTCCATGTTGGCTTTTTCTCTTAAATAATCAATCGTAAACTGAAACACATACGAGGTAAACATTTGATGGATCCAAAATGAAGTACAGAAAAATGAAGAATTCCTCTTTATATCGACAGAAATAGGGGCTTTTTATCCTAGAGCTGAAGAAAAAAACAATTTTTTTTTTTTTTTTTGGTTATGGAAGGTAAATGATGTTCTGCGAATAAAAAAATATACATGTGTTGCCAGATTTGTTTTCTATTTGGGTTGTAGATGTTTAAGGTGAGGTCTACAGGAGGCCTTATAGCGAGATGGATATAGAGACCACTCAGCTGCGGGGCGGTCAGAGCTGAATGGAAGCGATGTGATGAGAGTTTTTCTGAAGGCGCACCATAAGTGCTCATCGCTGTGCAGTTAGAGATAGAATAGGAAACATATGCCTGGTAGATTGAAACATTTCAGGATGTCTTGAGATGCTTACAGGCCCCCAGGACCATAAATGTCACACATACACTTTACTACTCCATTGAGGGAAGGAAATGGGTTGGCTTCCCAACCATATAGGGCTTTAATGTGCAGCTGCAGGAAGCGCTGTTTAATTAAAACACTAAGAAAAGGCAAGTGGATTTAATTAGTAATCATTAATTAGTTTTAAAAGAAAGAGCAGGAGATTGGTGAGTATGATGTTACTTTGTTGTTCTACTTATGGACATAGAGCTGTGGACTTTATATGGGTCGGAAAATAGAAGTAATTTATAATATTTTATAACATTAAGATAAAAGCCTGTCTTGAATAGAATTGTTTAAAATAAAAGGCCCAGGCCATGTTTTGAGAGTTCACATCTTTTGAGTGCTTTTAGGGACTAATATAAATTCCAAAAATAAAATGTTATGGACAGGAAGCAGGTGAAGAGAAAGCTTTTACACTTACTGAACTCTGTGGCGATGACGGAGATGTTGTGCCAGGCGTTCTCTTCTCTGTCCAGCTCCCGGAGGATGAACACTGACCCGTTCCCTGCATGGACGTTGAACATTCTGTCCATGTCCGTGCGTCGATCAATAGAGTACCTGCTCAAAAACACACAGAGATCGCCTTTTAAACCCGTGCACTCAGGCTGTGTGGAGTTTAGAGTTTCTCAGCGTGTGAACCGGAGTGAAAACGCTCACATTTACGGACGAGTCTTTGTTAAACTGACATTTTGTGAGCACGCAGGAGGTACTCAAAACAAGTCTGACTAAGCATGATGGACTTGTCTGCACTCTGCCATTATTGCCTTTCTTTGCAATTCATACCACAAAAGAACGCATTAAGAAAAAGATTAGTTTTTAGCATAAATCCAAGGCAGCGTTTGTCCTCAAAGGAACTTTGTTGAAAGGAACAAAATTGGTTTCACCTGCAAAAAAAAAAAAAACTACGGGAGGTAATACATCGCTTCTCTACATTCTCAGGCTGCTAAAGGGTCACTTTAAAACATATCACAAAAACACACATGTTCTCTTTACGCTTTGTGTTATCCAACCACGCAGTTAGTTGCAGGTTTGCGTGCACAACTTTGGGTATCAACGCTTCTGAAACATCTGCTGCCACACAAGTGCATACAAACGAGAGCTGCTCAACATACACGCAAACTCACCAGCTGTATCCTTTTACAGAAACAACTCGGGATAATCCAACGGCCTTATTGTCTACAGGGCTTAAATGGACTTTTTCATTAATATTGTAAAGAGGTCTTATTCAGATTTACCAGGGTATGGTTTCTAGAAGGATAAATTGCTTCTGAGCTTTCCAAATGTCACCCCATGACATGTCCACAAGAGGAGAAATATCCATTCTGCTTGAAACAGCATTCACTAACTAGTCGTCTCATTTAGCACATATTATCAAGGAGGGATCGCTATTTCCTTTAGTCGCTCACGGCCCCCCATCGAGTCAGCTCACAGCGGGCCGTCAGCTGATCCATTCCTAGCTGAATTCTGTCTTTAAATCGCCTACACATCAAAATGGAGCTTAAACCTGTAGTTCTTGGCTGTATGTGGTTATTTCCTCCAAGTTGTTTTGTTTACTAGAAATAATTGAAAATATATTGCTATATAAAAAGGACAAAAGCCTGGTGTGGTCGTTGGATTTTACTTTTTCAACTACTGCAACCTGTACATCAAAATGAAGCTCAGAAGGTTTTTAGCTGTATCTGTATGTGTGTTGCAACAAAAACGATATTAGATTAGACAATACAACATATGGCATCCCTTCTGTTTTTCTGCTGTTGGTTGTGGAGATACAGATGATGTGGTCTCTCTACCCACCTGTATACTCAGTCATATTTACCGAGAGATTTGTATAATTATTTTGTAACAACCGACTTCCGAAGTCATTTTTTAGTGACTGAAATTTGCACAATTAATAACTTGAGTTCTTTCTTAAAAACTAACAGAATCACTGGTTAGAACTACAGGGAGGGTTGAGGTGAGTTCACTCTGTACCATAAGGTATACTGTCAAGGGGGCTAACAGTCCTGATGACAGATAAATGTTAGCAGCCAGCCCCCTCCACACACACACACACACACACACACACACACACACACACACACACACACACACACACACACACACACACACACACACACACACACACACACACACACACAGCCAACAGGTTATCCAGTCGTGTTGTTTTTCTCTGCTTCCCAGACTACTGTGATACATCAGTGTGATTAATGGAGTAGCAGGCATCAGGAGGGCCAGCGTAAGAGGGAGGAGACCCCCAAGGGGCGACGATGAACCGGGGCTCTCAATGCACCACCGCACTCCCTTTTCGGCAGTTCCTCTCCCCCCCTCTCTACCCTCCTATAGCCCCTCCCCCCAGCTTCTCCTCCTGCATCAAGCATTTTTACTGTCTTTGTCTAAACCCTCCCTCCTCATCTCCTCCTGCCTCTCCTCCTCTCCTACCACCTCGCCGGCCCCGGCAGTAACTCTAACCTCGTTAAATGTGCGTCGGCCGTGGGCTTTACTAATTGCTTTTCTAATATTCCCAATAATTCAGCTGGCTGAGCCTCACCCCGTCCCCTGATTAATGACGGAGAGATAACAGCGCGCCTCGTCCTGACCGGGCACCCAAAGTGCTGCTCTCAGCAGGCAGGCAGCTGGCGGGACGGGAGGCCAGGCAGAAGGACATGGAGGGTTACAGAAATGTTAGTGATCAGCGGGTTGGGACATATATTCTCTTTCCTCCCTACACAAGCTACACGAGCGGCTGACAGTGTTTTCAGAAGGAGACTTTTAAAGAACAAATCAGCAGGAACCCGGCAGAAGTATTGATTTGGGGATTTGCAGGTTAGGAGTTTGAACTGGGCTATATTTAGATAAAAGTTGTTAAGGTTGTAAGATGGTTGTTTCAACAACTTTTAAATCAATACATTTCTACGTAAAGCAAGTACTTTAAGATACATTTCAAAATAGGTTTATGTAAAGGATATGGAAAAGTGGTTACATGAAACCAAGACCACCAGAAAACCTGGAAACACAATCTCACCCCGAGGTCCATTAAACAACTATCTCACAAATAATGTACGAGCACTTTAAATATCTTCCTTGTTGAATGCTGTTGAATCACATTTGAAAGCTCCAGAGTAGTTTCTATTCTCCGATAACTGTATTCAAGGTAATGAATGAAGCTGAATTTCAGCAACATTTTATGACCAACCATACTTTTTTGTGTATGACCATGGTGTCAGTTACTATTTCTAAACCTTAAAAGACAGAATATACTTAAATACATGTTCATGTTCTCTAAACATTCATGCCAAACTATTGAAACGCTTTTTTTCCAAAAGTGTCCTCTTGATAAGCCAAAGACAGGAAAACATTAGAATATTGCAGCACTTAGACGCTTCATTGACTTCCAGGGCTATTCAAAAATTCAAGAGATGACAGCTTTTTAAAACTCTGGCTTATCTTTCCTAATTATGTATAATATTCAAAAAACATTCCTGTTTGTGTGAATTTCCATCTTACGTTTCAAAACCTTGAATATCGATCATGTTTTAGGAACTTGAACATCAGTAATGAGTTTTTCTAATGGGATGACATCATAAAAACTATAAGACTGAATAGCTACTTAAAATGTTAAGAAATAGGCCATTATGATCCTTTCGTACCTTTAAGTGGATCACGTCACAATGTTCATGCAGACACCTATGCTTACTGAGGGAATTGTGTTAAAAAGTCCATGCCTCAATGTGCTGGTATCTGCAAGTGTTGTGGCAAGCTAATAAAGATAAGCGTCTCAGTGACTTCCTGATGCCAGGCAGCCCCCGGGCCGCCTAGCCTCCTCCACTGCGCGCCTTTAAATGCCACGGGGAAGCTACCTCCTTGATGATCGGCGATAAAAGAGAATGATATCATATTTGACACCTGCAATAAAGTGGTGGAACTTCAACCTTGAGAGCCAACTCCCTTAGTGCATCATAAAAATGAAAAAGTCTTTGAGACAGAGTGGAAGACGCAGCCTTACACCCCACTGCCATTACTCCCATTTAATAGAATGCCTGCATAATTTGGGATCTCCAGGAAGCAAGTGGTGCGGGTGATATTCTGTCCCTTTTCCAGTTAACAATGCATCCCCTACCAAGGCCTCATTACGTTTTTAATGCAATCGTTATGTTGAAAGAAATCTAAGGGAGAAGATCTACTTTTTACCCTAAAGCCAAATCAGATAGTTTGATATAAAAAAAACATCTTAGCAGCAATGCCAACTGGAAAAGGGAAGGAACTTTAAAAAAACATACTTGCCAGTTTTGTATCCAAATCATCTGTCTTTAACCACCTATTAAAGACATGTGATTGGCTCACTTCAACCAATCACATCCCTGTTGATCAACAATGGGGAGAAACGTCCAAAATATAAAATAGTATTATAATGACTGCCCTTTCTCTTATTCACCTAGTAGCTTCAATCTGGACTTTTAGCCACATATTTTTCAGTGGATAATGATGATTTAAGTACAATCGTAACATGCACTGATATTGTTCCTTTAAGATGTGTGTGTGTGTGTGTGTGTGCATGTGTGTGTGTGTGTGTGTGTGTGTGTGTGCGTGTGCGTGTGCTTCAGTACCTGACGAGACTGTTTTTGTCGTCGGGGTCAGACGCGCTGACGGAGCCGATGGCGGTGTTCCTGGCCGCGTCCTCTTTGACCTCCATGACGTAGCTGGCTCGCTCAAACAAGGGCGGCTCGTCCACATCCTCCACCACGATCTTAATGGTCGCCTCATCCCTGAAGGGTCCCACGGAGAAGAAGCGAGGGTTGAGGTGGGAATTTTCCACCTGAATACGGAGACTGTACTGCCGCTTCCTCTCGAAGTCCAGAGGCTGCAAAACAGAAAGGACATGTTTGAGTGAGATGTTTCACATACTGTGACATGTTTTCCCTTCTTTCATGGATTAAAAAGACAATTGCACTCTGAGTTTTTTTGACCTCTAATAGTTGCTTCTGAACACTCATTTGTATGCAGCTGCACTTTAAGCTGTTGATTTTCTGAAAACTAATATCCATTCAGAGCATACTGCCACATTTAATTTCAGGTCAGATTGGGATTTTATTCATTAAACTGGCAATCTTTTTCAGAGCATCGTCTAATTAGCTTGTGAAAAGGGGCTCAGCGTCTTCTTCAAGGACAAACAAGACTGTTGATGGAAACAAAGGGGATCACACTAGGGCTGCATTATTTGGTAAAAAAGTCATATTGTGATTATTGTTGGCACTATTGCGATTTGCAATATAATAAAACAAATGGTATCATAGGTATACTTGCTTATTTATGGAAAGGAAAATGCAGACTACTGATCCTTTTAGAATGTGTATTTCTAAAGTCATACAAACTAAGTATTTTAACTAAGAGTAAATGATTGTTTTAATTACTTACTGTTTGACAACATTTAATTAAAAACCTAACCCGAGTGAACAAATGGTATACTTGCTTATTTATGGAAAGGAAAATGCAGACTACTGATCCTTTTAGAATGTGTATTTCTAAAGTCATACAAACTAAGTATTTTAACTAAGTGTAAATGATTGTTTTAATTACTTACTGTTTGACAACATTGAATGAAAAACCTAACCCGAGTGAACAAATGGTATACTTGCTTAGTTAGGGAAAGGAAAATGCAGACTACTTATCATTTTAAAATGTGTATTTCTAAATTCATACATACAAACGTAGTATCATATTACATAGGCCTACTGTAACATACACATACATTGTAAATTACTATTTTAATTACTTACTATTTGACAAATAATGTGTGTATGTGTGTGTACAGAACATTAATCATTACAATGTGAAATTGAAAGATTACATATAGTTATCTTAAACAAGAAAAGGTGAAGTAAATGTACAAAACACTGGATCCTGAGTGGTTCCCAACCTTTTTTGAGTACTGTACCCCCAAAGCATTTCAAGCCAACCTAAAGTACCCCCTACTACGCCATCAATCGTGGTGATCCCCAGGATATATTAATAGTCTATATATTGTGGCAGACCGGCTGTGTGTGTGTGTGTGTGTGTGTGTGTGTGTGTGTGTGTGTGTGTGTGTGTGTGTGTGTGTGTGTGTGTGTGTGTGTGTGTGTGTGTGTGTGTGTGTGTGTGTGTGTGTGTGGATGACCTGGATAAAGTCACATGGTCACACAGGTTGGCAGTTTATTGAAGTAAAGCTTTAGTTCTGAGGTCTGATATCATCACTTCATTAACATTAAGTTAACAAAGCACTGAAGAATCTGCTACAAAACTAAGATAAGATGAGATGAGATGAGATACGATGCGATACGATACGATATGATACAATCAGATGAGATATTCCTTTATTGATCCCCTTGGGTCAATGTGTGTGTCATAGCAGCATGGGGGAGGGGGGTATAGGTATGGGCAGGGTAATAGCAGAAAGAAAGAAATATAGAATTAGATCTGAATATAAAAAGATGAGAAAAATGTGAGAGGGATATAATAACCATATACCGTAATAATCAAATGTGTGTGTGTGTGTGTGTGTGTGTGTGTGTGTGTGTGTGTGTGTGTGTGTGTGTGTGTGTGTGTGTGTGTGTGTGTGTGTGCCGGTCCGGGGGGCGGGAC